AAAGGAAGACACTAGTCCTCGTCGTTTGTCGTCTTCTACGTACTACTTACGTATACCTACCTACCCACCCCCTACCCCCCCCCCCCCCTCCCCCCCTCCTCTCTCTCTCTCTCTGTTTTTCCCTGTTCTTTAAGCCTCTCCCCATTCTTCAAGCCCTAACAATAGGCTCTTCAAATCGTCTGAACAAACGAAATGCAAAGAGAAGTGTTAGAGAGAGAGAGAGGCTTAGAAAGATGAAGGTCTTACTTGAAAGAAAAGATGAGAGTTTTTGGATGAACTACAGCCTTGTAGCCTTCATAGCTCATAAGTATATTTGCATGGACCTATGTATGCCCCTCTTGCATATGTTCTGAGAAGGTGTCAACATCCTCATCCATGCTCAAATGGTGACTTCCAGTGGTTAAAAGAGTTATGGGCAAACTCAGCATGAGATTGCACTCCCATTGTTTCAGTACACAAGTTTCAAGGACGTTGGTACGCTACGTCTGTCTGCCCATTGGTGTGTGGGGGGTAGGCACTACTGTAATGGAGTCAGGTCCCCAAGATACCCCACAAAAGAACTCTACAATTGACACATGAATTTCACATTGCAATCTGAAGTAGTAGTCTTTGAAATGCCATGCAACCCCACAGCCTCCTTAAAATAAAGACTTACATCTGACGCATACTTAGTATTTTTGCATGTAAGAAAAAGGGCCAATTCGGAAAATTGGTTGACAACTACTAGAACATAATTCATATCTCCCTCTAGGTGAGTGGGAAATCAAGTAGAATATCTATTCAGACATCTTCTCATGGTGCTATTAGGACCAGTTAGGGAGGCATGTATAACACGGCATCTTGTGTCCTTTGGCCATTTGACATACATACAAAGCATCATACTAGGAATCAAAGCGCACCATAACGTAACTTAGGCCAATGATACTGCTGCGTTACCATTGGCAATGTCTTGCTACATCCAAGATGTCCTTCACTATTCAGCTCTTTTATCAAGCTTTCTCACATAAAGCTCTAGGGGTTACATAACTTGGAGCCTTGGAAGACGAACTCATCTTGAATATTCAACATTCATTTTTCCTGGGTTTTCTTTACAATTGGTGAATATAGGTCCAAAATGTGTATCATCTTCATAAAGTTCCTTTAGCACCTCAAACCTGAGCACCTTGATGGACATTGCAGCAAGCAATGATGCACGTCAGCCAGGTGCATCTGCCACTCAGTTTTGAATGCTTGACTTGTGACTAAGCACTGATGCAAATTCCTGTAAATAAGAGACCCATTTTGCATGCACATTAAGCTCTCATTGTGCAATAAGAAATTGAGATTGTCGTGGTTAGAATAGAGTACAAACTCTCATTGGATTAGGCAGTGGCACTAAAATCTTAGCGCTTGCGTGACTGCATGAAACTCAGCATGGTAGATTGAGAGTATTGTGCTTCTCCCTTGCATAACTTCCTGCTGAAAAATGTTATTGGTTGGCCTTCTTGGTTGAGGGCAGGGCAGCAAAAATACCCACTATGCAAGGCATCGATCGCATTCAACCTTGAACGCCTTGGGAAAAATCAGGCAATGCCAATACCAGGGCTTCTGTCATGTTTTCTGTTAATGAGATGGAAGCTGAGCTCAGGTTCGGTCGTTCATTGGAAGGTCACTGTAAGGTCCGGGACTTTTCTAATCGTTGATTCTGTTTACATCCTGAATCGTTTCCTACTAATGCTTACCTCAGATTTCTTTTTTTGATTAGCTGAATAACCTATGTCTGGAGTTTTGCGTGGTACCGTATTATTGCAGGGATCGCGAGCTTTCCGACAGTACGAAAATCACTCAGATCCGAGCTACCGTTAGAAAGTCATGATCCGTACACTGAAATTATTTTTTTTTCCGCGCACATCCTGATACGCCGTGCACGCATGCCCCATGCATGCACACACTCTTATGTACACGAATCCCATCCCAATGCCGATACACATAATTACAGCATGCATGCCCCCCCACCCCACACAATGATTACACACATGCACTCTCTTCTCTCACATGCTCTCTCTTTATGCATGCTCATGCATGCCATCTCTCTCCTCGTGCATATTCACTTGAGTACCATGTGACACATGAATACTTCCACCTCCATCATTGTGTTCCCCATGCATGACTCCATGGCATAAAAATATATGATTATATGAAGATATTAAGATATGAACTATGACCACATGAACACATAATACATGCCATGACACACATATTCACATAACTACAAGATTAGATATTATACACACATAAGTTACATGACCCCTACCCACATGCTACCATGCTCTCCCATGCATATATATACCCCCCCATCTACTCATAAATTAGGTTTCACTCTCTCTCCTCACCCCTTCAGTCCCTCATGTACCCCTCTTTCCTCCTTGTTCTTCTTCTTCTCCCTTAGCCATTAAACCCCACTAAGCCCATTAACCCCATAAGCCTCAAACCTTTGAAGCTTGAACCGAATCCATTTGAAGCTTGGCAACCGAAGTGGAGCTTGCAGAACATTTCATCTTGGGAACTTTGATTGGAGCAAGGTAAGTAGATTTAGATTTCCATGGTTTCATGCTTATGTTAATACATGTTTCTTTAAAATTCAAATGTGAAATTCAAATGTGTGTGTGTGTGTGTGGGTGCATGCTTATTAAAATTTTGTTAAAGGTTATTTTGATTCCCAAAATTGTGGTCCTAGTTTGAGTGATTGTTAGGGTGCCTTAAACCTTGCATTAGACCATGAATCTTGGTGGATCAATAGGATGTTGAATGTCTTTCTACATGGAAAAGACACTTGTTCATATCTCATGTCATTAGAAAGCTATTAAGTATTTGTTGAAGCATGCCAAATCTGTGAATTGAAAATCCAGGGATTTGACATGTTTGTGTGAAGCTTTTGAATTCCCAAAATTTACTAGAATGTGATGAAACAACTTTGAAATGTTAGATAAATGAGCCTAGATTAATTTTGGTTTTGGGATCATGATAAAACTCTCTATAATCTGAGAGTTACGGTCGTTTTTCTAGTAGAATGTCTTCTGTAGTTTCTACTGCATAGAACAAAAGTTACCCCCTAAAGAATCATATAGTTTGACCAACCTCGGTCCATTTTTTGGTGTTACTTCCTAAATGAAAGTTATGCATTTATGAGACTAGTTTTCACAAAGCTATACCTCATGAGTAAATTCCACATATTCCGAATGTTAGGGCTTTTTTACTAGAGGTTTGTGGTTTCTGCTGCAAACCAGTGCAAAGCAGAAAGTTCACTCCCTGAGGATCAAGTGAATCGACCCACTTAGGTCAATAATTTCGTGTTTCTTTTTGAACAAAAGTTGTATAATTTGAGTCTATTTTATCTGAGAACAAGTCCCATAATTTAATGTTGGGTAGGTTGAAAATTATGCCCAAATAAGCACATTGTGCTCACTTTGGAAATCCATAAAATTTAGCAAGATTGGACCCCACTCTCGTCCCATCTTGATATAGTGCATGTGCATAAGTGAGATGCCACTTATTGTACCTGACACATCTCCGAGACGATACATATTATGTATGACATGCCTCTAATATGATTTGCGTGCATAAGAAGCATGACTCTTGTCAATTAGGCGAAATCCCTCTCGATAAGAATGTGTATGTAACATGCCACTAATTATTCATGATATGCCTCTATTATGTGATCTGTGTATGACAATATGTTTCTAATATGATTCTGATATGACACTTGTGGCATGCTTTCGATAAGATATGAGTGTATGGGGACACACTTCTGGTATATGATCTATGCATGGTAACATACTTCTGATAAGATATGTGTGCATGGTGACACGCTTCTGTTGTATGATCTATGCATGGTAACATGCTTATGATAAGATATGAGTGCATGGAGACACACTTCTGTTATATGATCTATGCATGGTAACATGCTTCTGATAAGATATGTGTGCATGGAGACATGCTCCTGTTATGATTTGATGAGATATTTGTACCGGCAGCTGTGATTTTTTCCCTGCTCTCAATGATAGGATAAGAGTTAGGAGTGTGTGTGTTTGGGTGGTCGCTCCCTCAAAAACTTAGGTGAGACACTACTCATTGGGACCCCTTTGGTAGTGTAGCGCTCTCT